CCTCTCCTCTAGTTCAGTAGAAACCTTCAGTTAGAGAAGCAAACTGAATCAAAACCACACAGAAGATTGAAATACACAAGATAAATAGGCATAGCCAGTGACTTAGTGAGATCCTGTCTAAAAATGGGAAAAAAAGCTAGCGTGAAGGCCTTGAGTTGAACCCCAAACACAGGGCAGGGTGAGGTGTGTGAAAAGGCAGATGTTGAAGTCTTCATCCAGTGAAATTCCATTTCACACACATGACGGGCTGGACATTATCTTATTCTAGGGAAAAGTTACAGATTACACGTAGTGTTACATTTTATGTAGGAGGAGCACCAAGCTGAGATACATACATGTGGAATGACAGATGTGGGATTCAAAGGAGTGTGTGTGGTAATCCTCTCATCCAGAAGTAATTGCATGATAGATTTTCTCCAAAGAATCTACAAGTACATCCTGCATAAATGGTCTAGGCCCCTGGAAAAGGACCCCTCTCCCTAGAGGCCGCACCACTACCTTCTGGTGGATAAGAGGCCACTCATCCTGGATCACCTGCCCTCCCCAAGCCCAGCAGCTCACCAGGGTGGAGGACATTGAGGGCTCAAGTGTGGACATAACTGACACCTCCTGGAGCCCTCATGCCCATCCTGTTACTGACTGGAAGATTAAAGTGGTTGCGAGGGAAAAAGCTGTGTGGGTCGGCTTTCATTACTGTAACAAATAACTGAGCACAACAATTACACAGAAAGTTTTATTTTGACTCACAGCTTTGGTCTATGATCAGGTGGGACCATTGCTTTTAGGCCTCTGGTGGGTCAGCTTGGTAGCATATTGTGTTGGAGGCTAATGGGATACTCAGCTAGGCTGAGTGAGTGAAAACTGGAGTCCCATGGTCCTTTCTAGGGCCTGTAGCAATGACCTGAAAGCAGCAACCAGGCCCCACACTGAAGGGTACCCCCACCTCCCAGTTGTAGCCCCTGGGGACCATACCTTTGACACATGGGCCTCTGGGGGACACTGACGATCCAAACTAGCAGAGCCCATGGTTGGGCCAGGAGGGGCGCATAGTCCCTGGCACAGTGTGGCATGGGTGATAAGGATGAGTGTGCACAGGTGTGGGGCCAGACTGTGCTGAGTGACTGGAACTTCAGAGCTAAATCTGGGGCAGCAGAAAAGATGCCCCCGAGGTCTATACATGACTATGGCCTGGGTGCAGTGTCTCTCCAGCTTCCTCAGGCATGGACAAGCTATTCTGAAAGGTGTCAGCTGACACAGGGACAGAATTATCTGGGGTTCCCTTTGAGACTCTTCATCCTTATAAGAATCCTTTTCCAGCAAGACAGACTCTCTTCACTTGTAATGGCATTTTCCCTCCCCTCAGCCACAGCTTTGCAGTGAGTAAAACTCCTTTAAACCCCTCTGGGGTTTAAAGTGGCTGGGCACTGGGTGCTCATACACAGAAGTGTCCACAATGGGCCCTCCACCTAAAATGGAGGAGCTGCCAGAGAAATGACAGTTCTTCTTAGAGGACAGTGGCCCCTTCCGTACGAGTCCCAGCCCTCCTCTCCTCTGAGTTGGACTGCCTCTCCACAGCTCTACTCAGGTCCTTAAGGGGAGTCTAATGGCCCTTGTGCTTAGGGGCAGTCCCACCACTTCAATGTCCTCAGAGCCACAGAGCTGAGACTGGCCTGTGGGCATTGGGCAGTGTTGGCAGGAAAGAGGAGTAGCAGTGTGGGCCATCTTCTGTTCAGTCCCTGGGGCCAGGACTCCAGTATTGCATGTTCCCAGCTTGCCTCCTCTGCATCACCATTGCAATTGTCATGGTACTGTGGATGGTGCCAAGCCCAAGGTCCACTGGGCTCAGACCAGAGGACAAGAGCTTCCTGGACAGTCTTCCGCCTTCCCATGCAGGTGGTCTTTAGGTTATAATCAAGAAAATGAGCTCGGAGGCAAAGTTTGCCTGTCCTCCCTCACCCGAGGAAGGGCCTATTTCTGCAATGTGTGATCCCAAAGCCCTTCCTGAGGAGCTTGAAAAGGTGTTTTTAAAGTGCTCACCCCCTTCAAAGGAACTTTCCTGGCCATTGACAACTTAACATGGCCTAGGCTGAATGGTTCCCAGTCTTTCCCTGGAGGAGGGAAGGACCCCAAGAGAAGGGCTCACAGGAATAGGGAGAGACGGGGAGAAGCTGCAGCTCTTGATGTAAGGGGCTGCCTGGCTGGGACAGGGTGTTGAAAAGTGCCTGGTGAATCAGTAATTGGCATGTGTGCTCTGAGTGGAGGTTCCTCCTCAGTCCTATCTTAAGCCCTTCTCTTCAGGTTCTAGGTGTTCCTGGATGTCTTCATGAGTAGAGGAATTTCCAGAATCTTCTACTAACCCACAATGCTTCTGCCTCTTCTCTAAAATCCCATTTTATTCTCAGCTGAAAGAGCTAGGTCTCAAAGGACTCATCCAGTCATCTTGGCTGTATTTGCTTATCTGTTCAGATTGTGGAATCTAAGGGGACTGACACATTTAAATGCACAATTCAGATGTGCCTGCTGTTAGTAGAGGTCTTGAGGGTGGAGTTGCTGTCCTATCAGGGCTGTTCCCTGCTCTCATGGCTGAGGTTCAGCACCATTCACTGCCAACTCTGTGCCAGGCACCATTCCAGGTGGGAGACTGAGGTGAATGAAGTCTTGCCTACAGGAGGCCTTTGTCCTGCCAGTACCTCAGGGCATAAGCCTGGATGCTAAGCTGAGGGTTATGGCAGTGGGGACACAAAGTGCTGTGGCAGGTGATGTGCGAGCCTCACTGAGGTGGTGGCTTATGGGTGAAGAAGTATAGAAGAAGCCAGCCCTAAGAACACCTGAGGAAGCAGTGTTCTGGCCAGTACAGAGGCTTGGAGGCTGGAGGGCCTGGTCTTCCATGAGCAGCACTGGGCAGGTGAGGGGACAGGGAAGGGGAGGAGGTGGGGAGGTAATAGGCCAGCAGTATGGCCTGTGGCTCCAACTCAGGGACCTGGTACCCTGGAGGCGGTGAGCAAAGGCAAGACATGATTTGAGTGGAGTCACTAGGCTGGCGTGATGTGAGAGGCCCAGGCTGAGGCAGGGAAGAGCACGTGAGCCTCCTGGGTACCAGTATCTGTCAGCTAGGTCCGCTGTAATGAGTAGACACAATGGTGGCTTATACTGTGGGAAGTTACTGCCTCACATTCTGGAGGCTGGAAGTCCAAGGTCAAGGTATGGGCAGGCTTGGTCCCTCCTCAGGCTTCTTGTAGATGGCTGCCATCTCCCTGTGTTCTCATACGGTCACCCTCTGTGTGTGCCCATGTCCCAGTGAACTCCTCACAGGAGGACGCTAGTCCTATTAGATTAGGGCTCACCCTAAAGGTTTCATTTACCTCAAACACCTCTGTGAAGTTCCCACCTCCAAATACAGTCGAATTCTAGGATCCTGGGGATTAAACTGTCAATATACGAATTTTGGGCGATGGTCACAATTCATCCTGTTACAGTGCCAATTACAGGGGTCCCGGGGAGACAGCATGCTGACTGGGGCCACCACAGCAGCAGGGAGAATGGTGAGAAAGGGTCAGATATTGCAGGTGGGTGCCAAGGGAGGGCATGGGAACAGTCTGTAAGCGTGAAGGCAAGGGAGCTGTATCCTGTAGAAAATTTAATCTAAAACTGGTGAACAGTTGGTTACTTCATAATATTGTCATAAGAAAGCATGCCTTAATGTTACCAGTGATAAAATACTTCTCTCTCAAGAAAAGAACTTATCAAATTCCTAGAAATTGCCACAATGACAGCGGAGTTTTGATGACATATCTCTAAACTTCAAGTTAGCATCTCTTTGTTATATTTTCTTTATTCATTATTGGGTTCCACAGGCATGTTAATTCACAGAACCCACAGCTTTGGAGGGGACCTGGAAGGGACCAGGTCACACAAGTTCACAGGCTTCTGAATCACTTGTGACTGCTATGCTGAAGTCAGGTCTCTAAGGCCTGCATGTAAAGGTGAGATTTGAAATAAACGTTTACCAGCACGGCAGTGATAGAGACCAGGGAAGAGAATGGCTGAAATAAGTATTTCCTTCTTCAGTTGTTTTTCTTAGGCATTTGGCCACAGTGACAGGAAGCTGACTAATGCAGTGCTTCATGGCAAAGAGCATGTGGCAGAAGGGGTCTGGGTGCCCTGTGGCAGTCATGAAGCAAAGAGAAAGAGGAAGAGGTGAAGATTCCAATACCCCTCCAAGGGCACAACCCCGTGACCTCACTTCCTCCCTCTAGGCCCCATCTCCTAAGGTTCCACTACCTCCCAACAGTGCCACAAGTTGGGGACCATGCCTTCAACACATGATCTTTGGCAGACTTTCAAGATCAGACTACGGGAACGACTATTGCTGAAAATAATTTTGCCATGTAGAAGAAGGGTGTTTGAATCTGTTCACTCTTCTAGAACAAATTTTCATGGACTGAGAAACTGAAATAACAAACATTTATTTCTCAAAGTGTAGAGGCTGGATATGCCAGCGTGGTTGGGTGCTTGCTGAGGGAACTTTGGTGGTTTGGATGTGGTTTGAGTGTGTGCCCCCAGGGTCTCTGTGTTGGGAGCTGGGTCCCCAGAGTGGCAGGGCTGGGAGGTAGTGGAACTTTAAGAGCTAGGACTGAGTGAGAGGTCTCTGGGTCAGTGAGAGTCTTGGCCTCAGAACTGACTATGATAGTTCCCCTTTGTGGTTCTTGAGAGAAGGTTGCAATAAGTGGCCTCTCTGGCTTCCTGTATTGATATGTAATTACAGTTCTTGCTCCTGCATGAGCTCTGCCATTACCATGATGCGATATAGTCCAGTGGGCCTGTGCCAGAACTGAGCCGATGCAGGTATCATGCCCTTGAACCTCTAGAATTGTGAGCTAAATAAACCTCTTTCCTTTATAAGTTGGCTACAAAAGTGTTTTGTTAAAGGGACAAGAAGTGGACCAATGCAGTTCTCTTCCAGGCTGTGTCTTCACATGACCTTCTCTTTCTTCCTGCAGGAAGTGAGAGAGATCAGTCCTGAGCCAATGTTGGGGGATCCACCCTCACGGTTCATCACCTTCAAGTACCATTACACTCAGTCCAGAGAGATGATGATACAAAAAATTATATTGGGGTATCAAATAAGAGCCAAGATACATCATGTACAGGTACAAGCACCCAATGATAAATGTAAATGTATTGTGTACCTAAAATGTACCAATAAAAGAATTTAAGCAAAAAAAATGCTTGGAATGCCACTGTGATTTGGAGTAGTTTGAAGGTAAAGGAAATTGGTATCAACTATATGAGGTGTGATCAAAATATATGGTGAATGTTTAAATTAAGAATATTTATTACAGTAAAAGACACATTGCCATGAACAATCCTCAAAGTACTTCCCCTTTCTTCTAACATACTTATGTCATTGTTCTTGCCATTTTCTGAAGCAGTTCTGAAAGTCCTCTTTCATGAAGGTCTTTACAAGGTGAGATAAAAAAATACAGGGAATGCTGCTGCCAAGTGCCATCCAACAGAAGGGCAAGCTCATACAAACATCATGGTGTGTCCTCGTCCACCTTACTCACCACACCTTACTCACCAGACCATGCCACTTCTGGCCTTCCTTAATGCCAAAATGAACATGAGAGGTAAACGTTTTGGATTGATTCAGGACATTGAGGCAGCCATGACAGCACAACTAAAGACACAAAAGAGCACTTTCAGAACTGCTTCAGAAAGTAGCCAGAAAGATGGGATGTGTGTTTGAGGAAAGAGGAAGTATTTTGAAGGGGGTTAATGGCAGTGTGTCTTTTATTGCAATAAGAATTTTAAAATGCAGGCATTCACTACACTTTTTAAATCACATTCCCAACCTAAGCTTGGACTGGGGATGCTGCAGGAGGAGCACATGTGGGGCAGTAGGAATTCAGGGTTCAGACATGCTGCATTTGAGGTGCCTGCTGGACATCCCAGGGGAGCTGTCGGGGGTCAGTCAGATGTTCAAGTTGTAAGCCTAGAGGAGAGGCTGAGGCTGTGGAGAGAAACTGTGGAGGCACTAGTACTTACATAGATTTAAAACCAAAGGATCGGACAGCTTTGACTCCCATAACACAAATAGTATGGCAGCTCTTTCATACTGTCAGCACATGCCCTGTGGAGAAGCAGCTCTCCTGGGTGTGGGGAGGGGAGGTCCAACCTGGCCTGAGGACACAGCCCAGCATCCTTGGGGAAACATGAGGTGAGGTGAAGGTGAGAGAGCCAGGCAGAGGAAGAGGAGGGAGAAGCAGAGGATGATATTCTGGGAACAGGGCAGGATGCACACACCATGGTGTTGGCTGTCACTGAGAGACTCAGGCAAAGATCGACTAGTTCTAAGCTGGAAGGTGGCATGGTCCTTTCTGAGCTTTGAAAAGATCACATAAACTGCTCTGTAGAGAACGGATTACAGAGGTGAAACAATCCATCCAGGTGAGGAATGGAGTGTTTGACCAGAGCAAAAGCTGCAGAGAAAGGCAGTGAAGATGGAGAAATAGGATTCGGGGGACAGGAAATGGGGTGATGAGTGCAAGGAGCCCAAGTGTAGGGTGGAGGGCAGTGGGTTGTGCTGAGAGGAGGAAGACAAGGGCAGGTGGGTGTGGGGAGTCACTTTCAGATTACACAGATTTAGGGGCAGCACTGGGAAACCCTAGAGGGGGGCATCAGGAAGATGCAGGAATTTGGAGTGGGAGCCAGGACCGAGGGCAGGTTGGGCAGCGGGTGAGACTTGCTATGGTTGGGGGGTCACCAGCGGACAGCTGGCTGACAGGGGTGCATGGGAGGACATGTCTTCTAGCAAGAGAGTGGCCCTGCACAAGGAAGGCTGAGATCCTTAAGGACAGATGCCAGCCCTTAGGTAAGAGTCAAGAGAAATCAGGATGATTTTAAAAACTCAGCACTGAGTGGCTGGGTAGGTGGAGACACTGAGAAAGATCAGGAGGGAACAGGGTTCAAGGGGAACAGTGTCAAGTTTGAGAGATTTCTGAGACATCCAAGTGAAGGGGTCAGGTAGCCCTCAGTTCAGCTAGTAAGTGTCAGCAAAGTGGCCTGGCTTGCGTGCTCACACAGGCCAAAGAGGTGGTGACCTCATGGGAGACAAATCAAGGGCCAGACAGAGCATGGGGCCCCTTGGGAAAATGGGGACAAGCTGAACAAAAAGCCTTTGAGGAAGGGCTGAGGGAAACCCAGGCAGAATGGGAACACAGAAGTGGAGAGAAGGTGAGTGATACTGCTGAGAATGGCGACTGTGGATTTAACAACATGGGGCTCAAAGCCAGGATGGTTGGTGGAGTGGTTGGGGAGGAACCCATTGAGCAGGTTCCAGGATGAATGGCACATCCAGTGCCAGAAATACTTCTGATAATGCTACTTATATAAGGATTAATCATGAGACCCACACGAACCACTTTTATTTTCAACTTTCAACTTTCAGTCTGTGCAAAAGGTTGCTACTACAAAGAGGACCCCAAGATACCAGTGTAGGACAGGGATTTGAGTGTGGCCTCATGTAGGGCTCTGGATTCTTACAGGGCTACCATGGGCTACACACCAGGGTGACCGGAGACTTGGAAACCCTGAAGTGACTTCATATCTAGAGGGAGGAAACTTTCAGTCCTTGAACTGGCTGCCACTTATAACCCATCTTCCGCCTCACTTGCCTGTTTATGCATTTGTTTGTGTAAATACCATCATGGGTCTCTGGGGAGATCTGTGCTGGGTCCAAAGATTCTGGTCTGAATTGACCTTGATCTTGCTTGGGAGGCCAGACAGGAGACAAAGCAGAGTGCTAAGCTCTGGGTGGTGATGGGCATGGAGACTGCAGGTCATGGAGAAGGTCTGTACCCAGTGTTGTTGTGGGAAGAGGGGCTGGGAGCTCCTCAGGGGTGGTGACTCATGGGCTGGCTTTCATAGCCAAGTGCAGTCATCAACGTAGAGACAACAGCGGATTCCAAGGCCTCGGCAGGTGGAAGAGGAAAAACATGGTTCAGCCTGATGGACTACCAGGCCTAGGCCCTGGATGGACCACCGTTCATCTCCTCTCTTCTGTATGTTCCCCAGTAGAGTTGGGATCAGGGACTCTGTCTAGCAGAAGACAAAAGCAAGGACTAGGACCTGACTTAGCTGAGGTCACAAGTGAAGGTGGCAGGATTGAGAACAGGTACTCGCAAGTGCCTACTGCCTCAGGCTCTTTGTACACAGGGCCTTACTTACTCCCTGGCCTCATGGAGGAAGACTTTCTCCAGGCAGGTGGGGAAGGTGAGACCTCACAAGGTCACATGGCAGCAAGGCGGAGGTCATCCAGGACCCAAGGAAGCTGTGCCAACTGCACACAGCTTAGAACAGAGGCTGAGACCTGGGCTTTCTGAGGCTGAGTGGCTGGGGTGGGGGCAGCAGTGAAACCCTGGAGCTTTGGTGCCAACAAGGAGGAGTGGCAGGACAACTGTTGTTGCCAGCTTGCTTTGAAGGACCCGGTATTACTGTCACTGGGTATAAAATTCATGTCCCTTTCATGGAGCCAGGTCCCATTCCACTTACCGATCTGCCAATCTTAGGCCTAGTGTTTCTTGGTGGTAATGCTTCTGCCAGCTCACGGAGTCTCTCAGAAAGGCTCTCTGGGCTACACTGCTGCCTCCCCTGGGGTCGGGAGGTAGCCCTATGCCTGAGAGATGAGCCCACCTGGAGGCACTCCACACTTCCAGAGTTCTTTCAGGATGAAACAGGGCCCTGAGGAGCCTGGGCCCATCCCCTGCTGTGATTGCATCAACTTTTGCCCCAGTTCAGGGAGCAGCCTGCAGATCTCTGTGGAGCAAAGAGAGAAAAATGAATTGTCCCTCGGAGGCAGCCACTCCAGCTGCAGCCCTCTCAGTGCCAGCTTGAAAGGTATCCGTCTCTGGCAGTGTCTGCAGGAGGAAGTGGTGCTGGGGAAAGTTGTTTCCCAGATGGGAGAAATTACAACACATTTGCATGCTGATGGGAATGATCCAATAGCAAGAGGAAGTGATGATGCAGGAAAGGGCGAAATTAAGGATCTCTGTCCTAAAATTCCTGGCAGGCATGTGTTTTGGATCATTCTGCCTCTTGGAAGACAGATGGAGGAGGCTTAGCGTACATCACTGCTTGGCTCCTCCCAGCCATGGCTCTCTTGAAGGGCACCCAAAGTGAGGGATTTCTGAAGTGAAGTTGGAAGGTGTAGTAACTTGGGACCAGAGATGTGTCTCATCAGAGTATTAAGGTTTGCCTAGTCAGGGACAGAATATACTTCCTTTCACTGAGAATATTTCTTGCCTCATTTCTTCATGAAAAGGAAGTGTCAGCCAATAACAGCTCACAGTAGAAATGTAAAAGAATAACAATGATGACTAAAATGGAAAGCGTAAAGTAGAAGGATTTAAAGAGTAGAGAGCAGCAATAGCATCCATTCAGCATTCTACTGAGTTGCTGCTTGCCAGCGACTGTTTGGGGCACCACAGAAAACCAGATACAAAGGACCTGCTATCAGGAAAAGGGTTGGAATAGACAGTTAACAATCAGTGAGTCAACAAGATGAGCAGGGGATCATAGCTAAAGCGCCCTTAGAGTCCCTGTAATATCTGTGGCCAGGTGCAAGGCTAGTTATTTTTAGACTCTGTTAAGTTGGCATGTTAAAAGTTTATGTATCCCTGGTACCAAAAAAAAAAAAGCTTATGTATAAAAATTTAGAAAAAACATTTAGAAAATGTTTTTGTGTGACTGTGAGATGACTAGAAATAGCATGCATAACTTTCAAGCAAATAGAGGAGAAAAAGAGAAGCAAGAAAACTAAACCATGCCAATGAAAGACCAGAGAGAAGAAAATCACAGAAAAAGCAAAAGCTTGAGCTATTGGACAACTGTTTAGCAGAGCAATCAAAAAAATGTATGTAATTCTCAATAGTACATGGAATTCTAACAAGAAATTGATCAAGTACTAGGCCAAATGACAGTCTCCACAAATTTCAAAGATGTACCATGCAAAAATTCAGAAATCAATGACACAATTTAGCTAGAAAAAACAAAAACCATGCATTTGAGTATGTAGAAACATATTTATCAATAACTCATAAGCTAAGAAGAGAAAAAAATGTTAATAGAAAATACTTAAAATTGAACAGCAATGAAAGTGCTG